GTGGCCTGAAAACTCAGGAAGAACTCTGTATGTATGGCCTCTATGTCCACAAATGTAGAGAATGTCTTACCTGAGACTTTTAATGGGACTTGGACTCTGAGACAGACACCCATAAAATGGCCCTGAGCCCCGTCAGTCTTCAGCAGCAAGTTTAAGCAGATCTTTCAGCGATGAATCTGGCAGTGTTGACATTTCCTGTGAGGGCTAGAAGTTAGGATGGCTTACCCACTCTCTGGTGGCTAGGACAGTCCAGTAGCCCTGGGGTAAGGTCTCAAAGGAACCCCAGAATGGGGCACTCTCTTGCCCAATGTCTTCTGCTGCATTTGAGGCATGGTCCATGGGGCGGGGGCCAGGCAGCTCCACCTTGTGTTGGTTTACCTGTCTCAGAACTCCAAGTGTCACTGTTATCTCTGTTGTTGAAAACATGAAAAACCATATTAAGGTCTCTATGAGGTTTGAAGGTCAAGGTTTGCCTTTTTGTTTGGGATCTGATTTGGAATCAGAAGGTATCTGTAGAATTAAGTAAGTATGCAGGAGTCAAATATAATCAACGGAATATTTATTATTTTAGTAATGGTTTCTCATAAGGAGGACAGGTCCAGAGAATTTTAGGAACTGACATGTTATTTATGTCATATACATAAGTATCTTTTTATGTTATTAAAATGTCTAATGCCATCTGACTTTTGGAGGATAGCCTGTTTAATTAATTTTTTACCTTTTTATTTAGGAGAGAAATCAGCTACGGTGTTATTTAATATCAGTTGAATATAGTTAATTATGGCTCAGTAGAGGTCTGAGCCAGGGCAGGCAGACAGGCTGGGAAAGGTTTAAGTTTGGCTTCTGCTGCAGTGTTGGTCTTATTGTTTTGCATATATCATTTTCTTGTTTTGGAAAAGAGCTAGTGGTTCCCAGCAAAAGATATTTATAATTATTTTTTAATTTTAGTTGTTAAACAGGAGATCGGTGACAATACCGTACAATACAGGCAGTAAGATTAACATAGAACCTTACTGGTGGTTTACAGCAAAAGGAATTTATAAATACCTCTTAATTTTAGTTGTTAAACATTTAGGAGATTATTGAAGGCTTTAATTGATAAACAAGGCTGGTAAAATTACCAGGTGGCCACTTTCCCATTTATCAGCCAAAGCCTTGTCTATTGCTGGCTTATTTAACCTTGATTAAATGGTTTAATAATGTAAAAAATAGCATCTCTGAGCCGAGCTGCCGAGCTGCTGTTTATCTGTGTTTGTGTTTAAAGCTGCACTTGTGTTTAGGAGATGCTTGTTTAGGAGACGCACAGCGCCTAAGGCAGGATGGAACTCTGAGGCTGGGTAGGGCATGCCCAGGGTGGGGATGGCACATGTAGAGTGAAGGTGGGGTGAGCATTGGGATGTGGCATGTGAGGTGGGGCTGAAACTGCCCTGGAAACGTGTACAAGGCAGAGGTGGTGGCGGCAGGTGCGTGGTGCATGGCGGTTGGGTCTGGGACGCAGCTGGGACCCTATACACTGTGACCCTGCATGGGGCTGAGCTGCCACGTGAAGCCAGAACTGCTCGCAGGGTGCACGGATTAGGGCGTGGTGTTAGAGCCGACCTTGCACAAACCTGGAGCATGGCATGAGAGCTGAGATACTGTGCAGAGTTGAGGCATGGCATGAAAGCTTAAAGCAGCCTGCTTGTATCTCTTAACACTGTTGGGCTGGAGTGTGGCATGAGAGCTTAAAGCAGCCCACGTGTATCTCTCAACACTGTTTGGGCACACCTCTCTCATCTCCGTGGGGAATGGGTTGGCACACATGATGGGGGGAGGGAAAGCGGAGAGGAAACAAAGGGACGCTGGCGGGAGAGAACACACATTCTCAAAACAAAGGCTTAAAGATAGAGAATTTTGTAAACTTGTCATCAGTGTGATAAGCCATAGATAGGTATGATTTTTTCTTGGGGGGGGGGACAGGAAGTAGTCCCCAAGATACAATCTGGTGTGGGGTCTGGCCCACGGAGTTATAGCCAGATGAAGCAACGGACTGTGGTCTACTAAGTGTAAGTCGTCACTTTTTACTTATTTTAGACCAATCAGTATTATATGGTTCCAAAGCTCATAATAATTGGCCATCACCAGTATATACGAGTGGATAACTTGTGGGTTTTAGTAACAGCTCTGCCCATGAGAACTTAAAAAGCTCTGAAGGATGTGAGAGTCTTTCAGTGTGGACACAGGCTGACCCAGGAAAACTCTGCCTTGGGCTATCCAAACCCAAAGGACGTGAGAGTCTCCCAGTGTGGACACAGGTTGGCCCAGAAAAGCTCTGCCTTGGGCTATCTAAGGACGTGAGAGTGTCATGTGAACCCACAGAAAGGGGGAGAAAACCTGCCTGGGGCCTGGCTCAGTGGCAATCTCTGGGGGTTGCTCACCTGTAGTAATTTGGGTTGGTGTTGCTTGCGAGTGAGTAGCGACAAGTTTACAGCTCCTGAGTGTAGGATGCAGGATGTAGTCTGGTCCTGGTCCTGAACAACAGGGGACTCAAACTGGGAGGGCCCAGGAATCTCTCATCTGCTGTTCCTGGTCAGGGAACCATATGATAGAACTGTGGGAACCGGCAGTGGCTGAAAAGATAAGAAGTACGAAATATAAGTGACCTTTATTTTGAGAATTCGGGGAGAGACCCCCCCCCCGACACCCTGGGGTGCGGCATCTCTTCCTGGAGTCGGCGATCTCTCCATGGGACACGTGGAGTGGAGGTATATAAGTAGCCTAGGTTTGGGGTGGAACCTAAGGGACATTAGTGATGCACAGGTAGCTCATTGGCACTCATTTGGCACCAGAGGTAAATTCCTAGGGGTAGGGGAAATGGAGCTCGTTGGTTCCGCCTGAGGCTTTACCCGCTACAGTGTCCTGTCTGGGCCAAAACTCTTTCAATTATTTTGCACTGGCCACTGAAAGCATGGTGTCCAGGACCCAATGTCTCTGTGGAAGGCAGTGACAAATGGCAGATGGGCCACTACCTTACAGAGTATGTCTCTGCTACCATCTACAGAGAGAGTCCCAGGAAATTCTCCCAGGAGGAGTGACACTGAATTCAGGCTCAGAGACAGAGTCAGAGGCAATTCTGCAGAACTGTTAGGGAGCCCATGGGAGAAGGAGCCAACAGGGAACAGAAGGCACAGAGCCTGTGGGCATAAAGCTTTCAGAAATCTCTAAATGGTTCCTGGTGGCTGGAGCCTCAGGCCAGGGGAAAGGTCAGACCAAGTAAGTCTGATTTTGTAGCTCTTATAAGGAAAATTTAAACCCCAATGACACACACCGTATGGGGGTCAAAGGCACAGAATCTGGAATTGCATTTATAGGGTTCAAATCCCCTCTGACCTTCTCTATGTAATATTGAGTAAGAATCACAATTCTCTATAGTTTCCCCAAGGGTAAAGTGGAAATCTTGGGTACTGAGGCATTACCTTGTATGTAAAATAACTACAACAATGTCTAGCACATGATGGCAGCCATGAAATGGTTCTTCTCTGTTATGGAAAGACTGCCGAAGAGTTCCAAAGAGACAGCAGTACTGTCAGATGTGAGTGAGAGGTGGCCTGGAGAGGAATGGAAGGGTGAAGTGGAGGAGGGCTTACAGAACAGGAGTCAAAAATGATAGGTGAAGGGCCCAGGGATTAAGCTCAGGGGCATAAACACCGGTAAGTGCAAGGTTGTGAGTTCAATCCCCTGTACCAAAAAAATAAAAACAAAACAAAACAAAACCCCAAACTATAGGAGGAAATTGCAATCATTCAGTGGCAATGAGAGAGTGGGAGATGGAGATGGAGGAGGCAGACAGGAAATGAATTACGGAGTCCTTTGATGTCTCCATGGCCCATAGGATGGAGAGAGGTTTAGGAGTAAAGGAGAAAAGAAGTCAATTCTATGTGTGCCATGAACTAAAATAGGAAAACCATAGGGTCTGAGGTCTGGAGGACCTGGGCACCCACTCACTTTCAGTGAATCATCTACATTTTGGACCATGGTGAGGTTGGATGTTGCTCCCTGTAACTGGCAGAGTATTGAGAGCTGAAATGAGCCTGGAACAGCACCTGGTCCTCCAGCCATAGCACTTGGTGAGCTGCAGTGATGGTGGTGGTTTGGGGTCTGAGTGGGCTGAGTGGCAGGTCCCTGTCAATCATTGCCCTGGACATGGCATCTCCCAAATCAGACAAAAGGTGGCTCACACTCTGTTCCGGTCTGGACTTTACAAGAGCTGGGCCCCTGCTCCCCACCTTCTTGCTCCTGTTTGCTGCTCCAGTTCTGGGAGCTGGGACTGTCACCTTGATAGAGCTCCAGGGCTACCTGGACTCAGTGACAAGCGAGATGTCCTGGGCTGTGGCCAGGTGGAGATGAGAGGAAGATCAGTAGGGGCAGAGGAGACCTGGTGCCTGCAGAGTGTTGAGATGCTAAGTAGGAGGCTTGTCTCAATCCACAGACCTTGCTGAGGGTGACAGATGAACTTTTTCAGCAGTTATTTCTTCCCCGCTAAGACTTAGAGCAGCAAGATCTTTGTTCCTATTTCAAATCTCTCTCTGAAAAGTTTCAAGAAAACCCCCTCTCCTTCGTGCTAGAGGATGAAAGAAAAGTGGCGCCATGTTCCCTATCAATTGGCTGGGTCATTGCTATCCTTCTCTTCTGTAGAGAAAATTTTCCAGCTCTGACTGAGACCTCTTGGTGGAAGAAATCATGAATTGTCACGGTCCTTCAACAATGAGAGGGTTATAGAGTCAGATTTGGGGAACTACACAGACTCCATTTACAGGTTGTGCTCAAGGTCAGCATGGGTTGAAACATTTCTGGAATCTGTGGACTGCCTGGTTAATCAGATAAAATCTTCAGAGGTAGAATCACAAAGGAAGTTTCTCAGGGGATTTCAAAGCCTCACTGTAAACAGCAGAGGAGGCTGTAGCTGCCCTGAACTTCCCCTTGACCCTCTCTGAATGTTGTCTTTGGGATAAACACCAGCCTCTCCTCCGACTTATCTCAAAGGACAGAGAAGGACTTCCTTGCCTGAAGAAGAAAAACGAAAGCGGTATAAGCTTTTTTTGTAGCATTTAGGATCTGGATTTCATCATATAATAAATTGAACAATTTTCTTTTATTTTGCCTGAAAAGTCAAACCAATCCAGGTCACGATTCTTAATTATGAACTAGGTTCAAACTGAAACCCAGCTGGCCATTACCGGCATCTATGACACATTATGTCCTTGTGTGTATACTGTCACGTTTACTCATGTTCATCTGCACAGCAAATGAGTGGAAGAGGAGTCACCAGTCATGCTCTGGAACTGAAGACTATCCTACTCTGACTGTACAGTTTGGTAGACCATGGGTAAGTCCTCTACTCAGGCCAGCGTCCAGTCTGCCCACTCTCTGAATCTTGTTCCAAGCCTGCATCCCGCAAGCCCCTTCCTGACCTAAGTCTCCTCCCTGTTTTCCTTTTCTCTGGTCCTGGGTGCTCAGATATCCAGCTAAAAGTGATTTGCAGTTGTCTTTTGATAGTTTGCCTTTTTAATGTGTATGTGTGTATGTGTGTGTGTGTGTGCGCATGCGTGCGTGCGTGCGTGTGTGTGTGTGTGTGTGTGTGTGTGTGTGTGTGTGTGTGTGTGTGTAGGGGAGAAATGGCCATGTGGGTATATCCTAGTGACCTAAGCAGCCACCAGCAGAATCACTCAATAGTGCTCATTCCTATCATTTCACCCCAGTTTTTCAGGAGGAGCCAAAAGAGATCAAGACCTCGTTACATGGCCTCAGAGCCAGTCACCTCTGTGTCACCATTCCCCAAGCCTTTTCCAGCACCAGTGGCTCTTCACCTGGTGCATGTCAGAGTCATCCTAGGAGACCAGCCAGTGTCTGGACCCTCATACCCAGACAGTGTGGTTATGATTATCACTGCCATTATTATTATTTTTATAATATGGTGCTGGAGATCAAATCAAGCCAAGGACCTTGTATGGGTTAGACAATCATTCTACCCCTGAATCCAAGCCCATGATGTCATTGTTTTTATGAGCATTGCACTTAGATTATTGTCTCTTTATTCCCTTTGCTGTGAATAATACTAAAAGATCAAACACTCTCATTTGATCTCCCATCGGTCTCAGTTATGGAACTTGGACCCTCAAACTTTGCTATGGTTTGCACTTAAACTTACATCTCTCAACTGTTGTAGATTGAGCTCGGGCCTATGTATTTATATAACAAAAGTGCGGATGCAGCTACTGAGAAGTGCCAGTCTCACAGAAGTGGCGTCATATCCTGCCTTTCTTGCATGAAAAAAAGACTCGGCAATGAAAGTGTTTTGGTAACTTTGCCCCCTAAGTTTAATTTATTTCGTCCTGCTTTCTTTCTGAACTTCCGGCTGCAAGTTACACGGTATCCGGGAACTTGCTTCTTCATCTAACTTCACCTCACGGACTCTCCTCTTTTTCTGAGGCAGCACAAACTCAGGCTAATGTTGTACAATTTGTTTTCTCTGATCAGTGCGTTCGTCTTCTCTTTTAGCTTCCATTTCACTCTAAGGATTTGGCTAATTGTATCCCCTTTCTCTTTTGCTTCACAAAGTCTTGCTCATTAATACAACTTCCACAGCTACTAATAATCTTCATTGGAATTCATCTTGGCTTCAGTACCTTTCTGTGTATTTGAAAAGAACTTTTTCCAATGATAAAATGTAGGAATGGGGAAAGGCAATACCCAGGCCCTAGGGAGGCTCATGGTGTTGGATCTCAAACCTGCAGTACTTGTTCAGGTTGGGGATTTAGCAGGAATTCTCTGAGCCTGCAGAACTGCATCCTGCTGACCCTCATGGAGAGAAGTGAGGTTTGTAATAGAGAGACAGCAGGAGAATGGGAGTGGGAAGGTGCCTTGCTCTCTAAGGATAGCGAAATTCGTAGAATACCAGGTATCCAGAGCTGGGAGGGAAGGCCAGTTCCTGACCTGAATTTTAGGCCCTGCCTCAGACTTTATGGCTGAATTATCATAGCCAGTGACCATTTGGTCATGGCCAGTTACCATTTGGTTGAAGATTACAAGCACAGCTGAATTTTGGAGATGTCTTTGGAAACATATTTTTGATGCTAATCTTTTTTTTAATGTTTTTGAAACAGGATCTCACAATGGAGTTCAGGCAGGCCTTGAACTCACTTTGTAGGTTGACCTTGAGTTCTCAGTAATCCTCCTACCTCAGCCTCCTAAGTGCAGGGGTTATAGGTATGCACCACCATACTCGGACAAAATTGAGTTTTTGTAATAAGCATATTTTCCTTGCTGTGAAAAGGTATAGTAAGAAAGGATTTGGCAATTTTGAGAGGATGTGTCATCATCTCACAAGTTAGAATGGTTTAGAAATTTGGCTGCAGGGCTGGGAATGTGATTCAGAAGTAGAGCACTTGCCTGGCATGCAAGAGGCCATGGGTTCGATCCCCAGCACTGCTGAAAAACAACAGGAAAAAGAACAAAGAAAGAAAATTAGACTATAGGCTAATGATCGGTTTTAGGGTTACCTACATGTAAATAATGACAGTTGCCCCTGGTAATCTAAGGAAGCATGAATGTCTGCCCTCAGCCATAAGGGCTGCCGACTTCACCCTGAAAGACTTCAGGAGAAAGAGGGAAAGGCACCCCAGTGCTATCGTACTCGTGAACAAAGGATGAGTTCTATCTTTAGCTCACGTAAGTGGCAGCTGCGAGGCTCATTTATTTGGCTTTTTCTGGTGTTTGTACAAACGGAAACACCCTCCAGGGATTTCAAACAGCAGATGTATTAAATATCAACACTGAAAACTTGTTGAACCAGGAAACAATGAGCATTAAATGGACAAAAAGTACAGAATAAACAGGATTAGGGGAATGAGCAAACCTTGGTCTGGAAAATGAGCCTCCATCAAGGTCATGGGTAGATTCAGGGACTCACATAGGGAGGACAGAAGACCCCACTCATTGCTTCCCCATGAAGTTGGGCAATGGAAACACTCCCTGCCTGGGCCTCTTGGACCCCTCTGGGGTGATTTTAGGACTCCCAGCAGCAGCGCACATGGGCTTGTGCTTTTAGGAAGGCTGTGGGTAGAGAGACCAAGGCTCTCTGTGCTGTGAAGTGCTCAGGACCCTACTGCCACAGAGCGCATCTTGGAGGACCCAAGATCCAGGAGATCTCTGTGCTAAGTGCACACACGGTGGAATTGTACATGGCAGCCCTGGAGAGCTTAATTACCCCCTCTAGGTGTGGCAGTTAGGTCTTAGAATTCTGGGCCATCCTGTTGTAAGTCACAAACTCAACAGGAATAGACATCACTTGGAAGACAAACCATTCCCAAAGAAGGCCTTGCTTGTGCATAGATGTTTGGGCTCCTACTGCATGTGGAGCATTTGGCTGGGTATGGTGTATGGCTCCCTAGAGCCTTGACATTTTCATGTGGTTTGGGGGTAAGGAGGGTAGTCTTGTGGGGCTGAACACTGGGGACCTATGAATGCCAGGGGGTCACAAGGAGAAAGGACTGGTCACTGTTTTCCAGTGTAGTCAGAGAAGGTTGCCCTGAGCATATGAGTATCAAGAAGAATGGAAGAATGGATAGAAAGAGAAGACAGAGGCCTGGAGAGAGCTGTTCCTTGGTGACCTCAGTGTGTCAGAGTGGGAAGTCACCAACCTGGGTTTCCACACCCTGGGTTTGCTCTCTGTGGGTGGTGTCCATAGAGGGAAGGATGTGAGATGTGTCAATGTGTCCTCCACCTACATAGTGTACACACAGTTTGGTGACAGGTTCCTGACCTACTGCTGCCACACACAAAGCACTTCTAAATGTTAGGGATTGCAGCTGGTAGGATGAGTTTACAGTTAACATTTACTGCTGTGCAATTCCATCCAAGATAGCAGCTTTAGGTAACAAACACTCGGTTATCTCCTGTGGGTTCTGAGAGTCAGGAGCTCTGAATCCATGGCTGGGCAGAGGTGGCTCTGGCTGTCCTGAAGTTGTAAACAAGACACTGGCCAGTCTGTGTCACTGAAGTCTGTTCGGGCTGAAGAATCTCTTTCTAAATTAGGAGCATGACCTCTAAAAGATCGTGTCGCCATGACATGGCAGCTTTCTGTGCTCTTGATGGGAGCAAAGGAAGAGCAGACAGAAAGCTGCGTCTCCACACGCCTGTTCCTTCTGCTATATTGTGTTGGTCACTTATTGCTTGCAATCCAATGAAGAAGGAAATTACACAATAGAGTAGATCCTAGCAGGTGTGGACCACGGGGGACCATCTCAAAGCCTGGGTATATTTGAGTTCATAGTTCAGATAGATAAGAACGTCTGTTTATTTTCTGGTTTCTGGAGACAAGGTCTGCTACGTAACCCAGGCTGACCTTGGATTTCTGACAATTCTCCTGCCTCAAACTCATGAGTGCTGGGATTATCAGCATGTACCACTATGCCCACCTCTAAAACAACCTTTTAAAATACATCACAGTGTTGACAAGAAAGCAAGGAATAAAATGAACAAATGAGGAAGCAAGAAGTCAACATAGAAGTGAGAGTTTCAGTGGAAGTTTTCCTGGGGCACCTCTGTTTATCCTCTTGTGCCCCAGAGAACTAGGTTTAATGCCTACCAACCAAAGCAACCTTGCCTGGTCCAAACTCGGCTCTGGATGGAGGAGGAAGAATTTGAGAATTTACATCCATGGGCTGGCTTTCCACAACTGGCAGGCAAATTATTACGGTTTGTGTCTAGATGTTCCCTCCAAACCTCATGCAATCATGGGTAGGACAGGCTTTTTACTGAATCTAGAGTTTGGACTGGTTCATTGTCTAGTGCTAAAATGCAGAGTGTGATTGCTACACCTGCCCTAGGGTGGGTATCTTGCATACAATATATGCTCCGCATCAGCTCTTACTGCTTTTGCCATCTTCTGCTGCCATGAACAGTTGCTTCTCTGCCACATGGCACGCTGACTTGGAGACAGCTGATTGAGGACTGAAACTTCCACAAACTGTAAGCTAAATAAACCTTTCCTTCCTTAATTTTGGGCATTAGTAATGAGAGAAAAGTAACTAATACACAAATGAACACTTTGAAAACATGGGACTGAAGGTGTGCTTAAAAGTGACCAAGAGCTGGGTTTCTCTCCATTTGGACCCACATTCCCTCCTTGTGAAGGAGCCCCTGCTAACTCAAGCCTCAAAGACTCTTGGGTAAGCAATCCCATTGAAGTGAAGCTCACTGTTACAAGAAGACTCATACTTGAGGAAACGGCATCCCAGAAAAACCAGAAGAGTGAGGGATAGTGCACTACACAGGCTGATGCAGTTTTCAGACATTCACTAACTGACTGGAAATCAGTGTTAGCCT